TGCTTCACGTTTGATTACATCTCGTATAGCACTTACGAGCATATGTCCCGCAGAGCGCGCCTGGCATTTTGCCATATTCCAATGCTTGCCGTCAGATTTTCTTACATTGCTTTGAGAATGGGGAACGAATGTCCTTGAAAGGTTACCTAGCTTAAACTAGTATATATATATATATATATATATATATATATATATATATATATAGGCGAACTGATTTATCGGTTACCAAGAACAACGAAAAATATAATTCAGACAATTTGGTAAACGCGCAAGAAAACTAATGAGGTGCACATTTACTCTTGCATGTAACAAAACTTACATGCACACGCATACGCACACACATACATGCACACACACACACACACTCATATACAGATATATATATATATATATATATATATATATATTATATATATATATATATATATATATAGCGTGTTCAATTGGTGACATATAGTGAAAATACATGTACACACACATGTACATGAATGAAACATGAAATGAACACATGAAAATGAAAATGAAAATACATGAAATACACATGATACAAATACACATGAAAATACATGAAAATCGCCTCCTGAATACTTGGCACACAGATATTGCACTTTTGGGGGAGTAGTATACGTACCACACGACAGCTGCTGGCATTAGAAACACGACACCACCTTTTCGGACACATGAAAATACATGTACACACACATACATTGAAAATACACACAAAAAATACATGTTGCGAATAAAATGCAGTGAAAACACAACTAACCTGACTGGCCCCCATGCTAGCGTGATCAGAATCCCACGGACCCTTATTAGGGCTACTCCACACATGGAAAAAACATTTGACCTGGTTTCCTGCGCCTGATCAGGTAGAGAGGAACAAGATCGCTTCACAGCGGCGACTGGGATCAGGCGCCATGCCATTGGGCACCGCGTCTCGGTCACCCACGGCTTCAGCTTCGGGTTGTTCTCAGGCTGCCATACGCATGTTTGATTGACCCAGCCATTTTCATTAATTTGGTGATTGATTGTAATCATTAGATGCTAATGTAAATTACGAGCCCATCTCCTCTGCAACAAGGCCAGAAGCAGTCTGAACATCCCTATTAAACCAGATATGCACTGGCAGAAGTCTGATCACTTCCTCACATGCACAGGCCGGGCTGAAATCGCGTACCCGACGCGCACGCAGCAAACCAAGGGCTGAATCTTATGCGTCCGGAGGCCACGTGCCGCCGTATCATTACCGTGCAGGCCGCATCGCAACATCATATATATCCCATTTATGCATCGGTCTATAATCATAGCTTATTAACCTCAGCCACCGTCATAAATCAAATGGTCAAGCTCGTGACGGGCATCGTTATCACGCTCATGAGGTAATTATCATTCATGACTTATGACTATAGGCATGTGCGAGGTGGGCAGGATGTCCCGGCGGCCCCGTGCCTCCCGGAAAGTCGGAAGGTCCCGGAAAGCCCACTGCGCCACAGCACTCCGTACTGTTAAACGGCGAGACAACTTAAAGCAGACAGTTTTTTTTTGTAGAAGAAATAGACATCCGAAAGCCACTGATACAGGTACATACACGGTTCAAATACTCAACTTTGCCTATTGGGAATTGCTCGCAAGGAGGTGTGTCATTGCAGGGGCGCCAGAACATGCCAGATATTCCGTGAAATTTTACTCTGGATGTGATTCCCACCATGTGATACCATATCGCAAACAACAGCTTGCATTGACTTTAAAAATATTATTTTGAAGGTTTTTGTTTTGACAGGCGCCCGGGTGGCCGGCTAGATACCGTTCGCTCGAGTGTGAGGGGAGGGGGGTCAGTTTGACTCCCCTGAGATATCAGAAACGAAGAAAGCTAGAGACACCAAATTTGCTGGGTGCCTTGACCTGTACGTGAACTCACTTAGGTCAAAGTTTGAGCCTCCTAGACCATGACCTTCAGGTCAAATAAGGTCAAACAGGGTCAAATTATAGGCTCGTCACCAAAATGGCCCCAGAACCTAGTTAACTGTTTCTAAGCAGAAGGTCAAAAGCCCATTTGTGGTCAGTGACCTTGTTTGACCCCTTGAGGTGACCAAAGTCATATAAGACTGCTCTGAGTTTTGCATTTGAATACGCGACAAAGATTACGCTAGGCAGTATGTTCATAAAACAAAATGTCGACCCGGGTCATCTTGGGTCAACGACCTTTTTTTACTTCTAAGAAGCCCATGATAGATGCATAATGCGGTTCCTGCTATCAATAAATTCGAAATGAGCACCTCAAACTATCCCATACGGCAAGCCCTAGAGTAATAAATCAGACTGGTTGTGACCTTGGGCTGACCTTCATACCTGATTTTAGGTAAACGTAATTTGTTCGTTCAATATTTTTAGTGCCTAAGAAAGCATCTCAGAGATGTATGGCTTCGTCAAACACTCCGTTATTGTATCAGATTGAACGATTTCCTAGAAATTGCCTTCTCTGAAACCATGGCCTGACTTTGACCTGCCAGAGGTCAGCAGCCCCACAGGGTACATCTAATTTGTTTATGCCAAGCGATCCGCAATTCAATGTCTACAGCTATGCAAAATTTGGCGCGGCTACGCCGTGTCGTTCGGAAACCATTTTGGAAAAACCTTCGGAGGGGTCAATTTGACCCCCACCCGAGCGTGTTTAAGTATCTGAGAGCGAACACCTGCGATCATAGCCGCTTCAGGCCTCACACTCCAGAGGTCCTTTTTATCACCCACTATGACCTTCCGCCATTTCCAGAATCCCTGCATATTTTTGTCGTGTTTAACCCTAGTACCTCGGGGCATCGACTCAAAATACTGTTTTCCACTTCGGTAATTTCTGGACGGAGGTGGAAGTGTATATTTTTACGGTCATAATTTTAAACAGTCAAGCGGGAAATAATCACCTTTACGATGGTGTCCTGTTTCTAATGCCAGCAGCTGTCGTGTGGTACGTATACCACTCTCCCAAAAGTGCAATATATGTGTGTCAAGTGTGCAGGAGGCAGTGTTGAATGTATAAGCTTGCAGAAATATTGCACAGAAATATCGAGCCTCTAAAGAAAAGGAAGGATACCGTATGAATCAGCAGGAGACACCATAATCTGTCGTCAGTCCAGCCCTTTAACGCACCGGATGATCGCAAAGGGCTGAAACGCATACCAATGTTTCTTTAATGGTGTGGCCTCCTCTAAGTGATGGAAACTTATCTAGCTGCTCTCCGTGCTGAAGATGCTGTTGGCACCAGCATCGTGACCTGAAACGCCAAATTAGCGGACTAGCGAAAACATCATACAATTCAATTCATAGTTAAAGGGAGCGTGGTCCGTACCAATTAAGTGATGGATCTGTTATCGCATTCGCATAACATTATCGGTGGAAAAAACCTCAATGCACTACGGTTTTAATTATGTCTTTAGTTCCTTTACATTACAGTGATCAATTATACACGCATGTATTTCCCAGGAGACACCTATAATAGTAAAGAAGGTAACCTTTTCTCTCACACACTTAACGGTCACTTCTCCAGAGAACACGTAAACCAACATTTTCTTAGAAATGAACATGAGAACATCACTGGACATGCATCACATACCACGATTTCGGTAAAGTGCCGACACTCATTTAGCCCCATAATACCATCCAAGACGTTCGCCTCACTAGTCGCTTTATGACTAGGGCCTTTGCTAGTTGACGCCAGGAACCTTCTCTCGGTGGCGACCGGAGCTGTTCCTTTCCACAGTGGAAGCATTCCCTTCATCTGAAGGCGGCCTCGTGCCTCACCGCACCGCGACCACACCGACTTGGGGAATGCCTGCCGCAGAACTATGGACCCTCGACCATCCGTCTTGTGTAGAGTACGGCACGGACCCAACCCCGTCCGCGACAGCAGCTTGCTCGCGCAGCTTTGCTTCCCATAGCACAAAATCCTTACATTATTGTGACCCCATCCCGTTCGTGTCATCCCAACTCACAGATAAGACCAAGCCGTGCGCAGTGCTGGGCTAGGAGTTAGGACCTTCGCTGGATCATAACCCGTCTCTCAACCACTAAAGATCCTTACACACTCGGGACCTCCTCTCATGCATGACAGGAACCTCCTGCAGCACGAGTGCTCCCCGCCATACGTAATGCTTTCATTGCCGGTGTCTCCTCTCGATCTTTACTACATCACGTTCTTGGTCATGGTCGGACCGGCTGAACCCATCATTACTACTCACCATATAAGTTGGGGCTGTCGAGGTTTTCAAGGCGCTCCCAGACCGTCACGGCGGGCAGAGTCCGCGTTTGCTCGCTCTGTGTGACGACCGGGGAGGACGGCTGCCCGCGCTGCTCACCCGACTGTACCACATCTGAACAGGACGGCGAAGAGGGCTGTCGGACACCTGGGATCAAGCCTCTGCCAGTATGTGACTTTGTCAGTAGTCGGTCTCGTTGCTCGCCAAGACATAGTGCTTACTTTGACGCCCTGTCCGCCTGTCGATGCTTCAACGTGGCGAATTCGTGTTTGCTAGCATGAATGGCACTGTCGATGCGATATGATTCCCGGTGCACCCCCGTCCTCCCCAGACTCCCACGGGTCGTTAGGCAAGAGACCAAACCGGCATTCTGAAACGGCCCACTACAGCGCCTCCAAAACTTGCATATCTCGTAGAAGCGAGTAGTAATCAGCAACACTTTTCTGCAGTGTCAATATGCACTCTGGAAACTCGTGTGCCGCCGCCGGAGTGTTTAAACAGCTCATTCGACCGTACAAAATGCAATTTTGAGCGTTCGGCGAGGCCGGGACGCCGCCGATCGGGTCACGTGACCGGCCGATCGGCCAATGGGCGGCGGGCTCGGCGGCAGTGGATCAGTAGGGACATCCGCGGCCCCCAGGGCAAGGGAACCGCCGCGCCTGGACAGCGCCACACACACACACACACACACTCGGCCCAGCGGAGCCCGGGCCCAGGAGGACGGAGCGCCGTCTCTGCCGAACACCTCGACGCCATGGTGATCAGGTGAGAGGCCAGGGGAGGGGCAGCGCTGGTCGAGGAAGTGCAGCGCCTGCTGGTCACGTCCGTGCAGGTGGCGTCCGGGCCCGGGCGGAGTCGGCGGCCAGGGCCGCAGACCGGCCCTGTGACGGGCGGCAGCGCTGGAAGTAGCCCGGCGCTGTCGGGGGTCGCGCCGCGGCGCCGCTCGGCAGCGCCCCGGCTGCGAGGCTCTCCGGCGCTATCAGACGTCAGCCGCCTAAAGCGGCGATCGCTTGTATGCAACAGCATCTCACCGGCCCGACCAGCTGGGCTGAGCTATCTTCGCGTGGAGGGAGCGGCTGTAGCTTGTTGGCAAAGTGCCAGAGTGAGCTTCCTCGAGCCAACATCCATGTCGTGCTCAACGCTTCCTGTGCTTATTTGGCGGAGCAGCTGCAAACACATCGATTTCGGCTACGTTTTTACTGATGAACGGAGCGCAGTTGTTACGTTCTTGCTAATGTGCGGAGCGCGGTTGTTATGTTTTTGCTGATGGACGGAGCGCAGTTGTTATGTTTTTGATGATGAACGGAGCGCAGTTGTTGACGTTTTCGCTTATGTGCGGGGCGCAGTTGTTATGTCTGACGCTGAGCCTGATGGGCACTCGTCCGGTGCATGCAGCATGTTCAGTCAGAGTGAGTGCAAGATTTTAACCAAAACCGAGTAAGCTCTGCATGACGCTTGACAGAGTACACCACCTGACGCATAACACAAGCACATTCTCACTTTGCTTGCCACTGACGTCACCGCAATCCGCCTTTAAATTATATTCAAGGTAAATTACATGCTGTCATAAACAGCGCATCGCTCTAACGCTGACGTGATCGGAATCCGTTTTCAAACAACTAGAGTGGACACATTCGTGCGTGACTACTCCTGCCAGTCGCGGGCCGACGCCGCAAACTTGATGTCCGCTCATGATGTGCGACTTTTGTCCTGGGGCACTTAATGGCCTCATGTTCCGAAACGTAACGGAAATGTTTATTCTTCAGTGACGCTTAACAGACTGCAGCATACCTGAGCCAGGCTTGGAACGTGTGGACATGGACACTTTTAACAGTCACGTTATTGTAATAGCTGAATGACGCTCAGTTCGACCGGGGTCCGGTACAGCGGTGCATGTCCCGAACGATCCGGCCGGCCACCGTTCTCCGCGTGACCCTGGGAAGGCCCGCCGTGATGTGTATAGGCTTCTAGTCGACTTCCTCTGACTGATTTCGAATCCTGCTCTTCCTCGCTCCTTCCTTCGATGACCCCGCCGTTCAGATCGCGAGTCGCACGTGGTTCCTCGCGTCTCGGCCGCCGGACGTTCAGTTGGCACCAGACACGCCCGGCAGTACCGTTAGCAGCGCTGCCACCGCCTCCAGCGCAGGACGGGTGGCCCCCACACGAGCCGGCACGGTCGGCCACCGGGCAGCGACAGCTCGTGGCGAGGTTCCTGTTCGCTTCTGTACGCTCCTGTCGGCTCTCCTCTGCTGCTGTCAGATCCTGGCAGCCACTGGCAGTATCTGTCAGCCCCTGTCTGCTCCTGTCGGCTCTTGTGTGTTCCTCTCGGAGTTTGCCAGCTCCTGTCGGCTCCCGTTGGCTCTCGTCTGCTCCTGACAGTTTCTGTATGCTTCCGCAAACCCGTGGTTGGTGCTGACTATCGTCAGATTTCGCCATCTGGCACCTTTCAAGACTTGACCTCTGACAGTCCACGTCTGTTTCTATTCGCTCCTGTTGATTGCAGTCCGCTGCTGATTCAGCTCCGTCCGTTTCTGTCACGTTCTGTTGGTTTTTGTCGCACCTGTCCGTTCCCGCGAACTTCTGGCTGCTCCTATCCGTTCCTTACAACCAGTGGTGGAGCGTTATCTGCGCAGTGTAGTTTGGGCTTGAAGATAATGAATCTTGATTACGCTTTTGTATCTGTTCTGGGCGCATTGCCCCTCCTTCATAAATGCCTCGTCACTCTCTCCACCATTGCCTGATACAGATCGCTTTCAAGTCGCTACAGAGTACTGATAAGGAGTTGCCTCTGTTCTCTAGAATGTCCCCAGACTTGACAAAAATCCAGTCTCGGCTATGGGTTTTATGAAGCCTTATCCGTGCCGGCAACCGTCGTCGGCTCCTGTAGGTCCGTGCCCGTTTTAGTCGCCTCCAGGGAGCGCTGTTGGCTCTTGAGGTGTTTCGAGGTGCTCGAGATCGTTTGGGGCTGATTCGGATCAGGTCACGACCTGATCACACCTTTTTCAACGAACAAGACTCGGCCAGCTGCAGACAGACAGACACGGTGTCTTCCGTCTTTTGTGCCGTCCGGGCTCCTCGTGCTGTTGGTTTGGTATGGAAATCGGAGCACCGGCTATGCAAATGCATCTGCAGTGCAGGGCCACTCTCGTGCCAGACAAGCACGCTACAGACCTTCGCTGCAGTCACTGGGTCTGTATGGCACTGGGCCAATAGCCGAGGGCTGGGAAGGCGCTGGCAAGCCAGGTGAGGTTTCATGCGACTGCAGTGCTGTGATGGAGAGATCCCCTGACGAAACGAACTGGACAGGACTGACGTGAACTGACACGTGTAACACAGGAGACCAGAAATTCGGCAACCCTCAGCTGGTCCTTCTCACAGGGTGGCAGTTGAAACTGACAGCAATAATAACGTACCGCCAAAGATGATAATAAACCGGTTGTGTCACTTAGTATTCAGCTATCCTCCCTATGACGTGCCTTTGCTAGGATAAACCCTGTGGATTTAATGTTTAATGTTGTTGTTAATGATTTAATGTTTCAGGCTCGCCCTAGAGCCTTCCTAACGTTTAAAGTTTAGCTCTTTATTCTGGTTCTGTTGGACAGTAGGGCGATGAAAGACTGTTTAGACCGACGACTATCATTTGTATTGTCATCTTAGTGCGCGAGACGAAACATTGTGAATAAAAGCACCCACAGACCTTGTACCCCAAATTTAAATTGGACTATCGGTTTAATTGGGACTTTAAGCAATAAAGTACACTTCCTGCTATCAACTTCCACATGCCATCTGATAGACAGGACTGACGAGGCAGTGCATTAAGTGTCACAGACAATACATGGAACTAACATGGAACTACCGCTTGCGGAATTTTCTTCTCGTTCGTGAGCCTGTGCTGAAGCAACAGAACATGGGCACAAAAACTGTAACATTGGGCACCGTAAAACCAGGAAGCAGAACAGAGCAGCGACAACTGACAACTTCACTGGCGACCGCTCAGCTGTCAGAGGGGTCTCCCGAGGATTGTTACCATGACAACCGGGCGAACCAACTAACCATTCTGTGAAACTAAAGGCATCGCTCGGCGTACACGGCGAGGTAAGGACTTCAGGCGACTGGTGCTGCATTGCTCTATAAAACTCAGCGAGGTGCAGAAGCAGTCACGGCATGTCACATCGAATCACCGGTGTTTGACAGATGTAAACAATAGTGGGCACCTAGCTGAGACCGAAAGGTCAGGTCTGCGCGATGACAATGACGACATAATACCATGCGTAGCCCTTTATGTACACCCACGACGGCACACGCCTTCGCACAACTGAGGCACAGAAACGCAGGTGGAGGAAATGGCACGATACTTGCACGTGCAACCAAGCACGCAATACGACATTCCCCAGCTCAGTTACAAATGAAATGACGGAACGAACGTCGCACCTGGCGACGAGAAGAGTTCGCTAGCGTCTAATTCATTCAGGAATCTAACCTTGAGTTATCAGGTTTTGTCCTGACTTGTAAGGAACATTACAACGGGCGTTGCCCCAGAACCGAAGAACCAGTGTACGGTTAAGATGTTCATCTCGCCTTGCACAGACAAGGTGCAAGCTGGCAAAAAAGACACGTGATAAAACTCCGAACGTGTCTACCGCTAACTTCACTGCTTCGCGTTGTACACATGCATTCAACTTTAATGAGATATAAAAGGAAATCAAACGAACGAGGCTGTTTGTCGGAACACGCTCGTGCCTGACCGAAGACCAGGGATTGGTGATCTCCTGGCTTGTGAAGTGTTTTGAGATGTCGTTGACTTTAAATTCGGCGTAGTCAAAGTATGGTACCGAGTATCTGATTTTGCTCTCGGCGCTATAGCTGTAGCTCCGCTATACCTCTTTTTAGGACAGACAACACGTCTGGAGTGTTAATGCTTAACCACAGCTAAATTTACTGATTGGGTTTTGATTGCTGTTAGGTGCTGAAATTTATTATTTTCATGACGCTAGGATCCTGAAGCCGGCCCAGAGCACAACATCTTCTTGAGATATTCTGCATGCAAAAAAGACGTCAGTTTCGCCTTGGTGCACTTCGCTCGGCAGACCTCGCGGTTGACGGTCGCGATGCTCTCACAGCCGGCTGAATCGGAAATTTCGCGAGTGCTGATGGCTATCCACATCATCACCTTCCCCGAGAACTTTATTTGGGACTTAAATCAGCGGTGCAGTTTCCTATTCAGTCAAGCGGCTTCATCCCCATCCTCAACTTTGGTAAGAAAGGAGCTGAATTTGGGGAGAAACCCATTTGCTGGCATATTTTCGGGTCAGGCTGGGTCATTTTTCACTGTCCAGTACCTTACCTGAACACATTTTGTGAAACTTTACCTTCGGGCGAAAGCTTTGCACAGTGTGGAGCGTCACCGCCAGGACCAGCAGAAGATATGTACCGCGTTGTAGGATATACCACTTTCTTATGCTTCATCGTCTATGATGTACTCTCTCGCACACTTGTGGTAGGCGTTGTAAGCCTGTAGAGGCGGTGAATTCGAGGTTTCTGAGCTTTATCTTGTTTATTATTTACTTGTAGGCTCTTTGTCTCTTTTTATACTTAAAGCTATCTTCTGTGAATATTTTGTAGGTGAGTGATTTAGTGCACCAGTGTTTTCTTACTATAATCCGCAGGAACACGACCATTCGTGCTTTGCGGCTTTCGTCTCCTTTTTCTTCATGCCTTCCTCCATTCTCGTTTTTTCCTTTGCATTGCGTTTTATGCATTATCCCTCACCGATGCGCCGCATCACTGAATACGTAGTGCTTTTAGAAGAGCTGTTGTTTTTTACGGATGGCAATATAGTTCGACACTTCTTAGGTCTCCGTCCCGCATCCAATTTCGTGGTTTGGCGAACATGTTTAAAGAGTTCAGCACGAGCATGTTCGTAGTTCGAAAAAAAATCTTAGTTAGGCATGCATGACATGCTAGGCCCACTAGCATACATCACTTGCTAAACTCACTAGCATACATCACTTGCTAAACTCACTAGCATACATCTCTTGCTAAACTCACTAGCATACATCACTAACTAGCATCGCCCCGCCAACATGGCGATGCGGACAACAAGTGATGGATGCTGATGAGTTAAGGAGTGCTGTTGGAGAGTTGATAGATTGGCTGTCCCGCTATGGCCTGGCCTTTTGTCTATCACGTAAAGTGAAGTGTGCCCGATTTGAATAACTGCATGCACGCCGTGGTGACAAGATCGCTGAGAGTGTGCCTCAATAGGTCGAACATTATGGATACTTTGGCAGGAGAGCGAAGAACAGCTCACATTCAACAATCTGATTATGGAAATTTATATCCAACAGTTGTCACGCTTTACAAGATCACCTGTGGCGTGTGTTCCCTATTTAGATCGCCAGTCTATTCCCGTCCCATCGCGCTCTCACGGGTCCGATTTGCACATGTATGGCCGCTGTAGGTTTTCCTGCCAGCCGCTTCTGTGCTGTTCAATAGCAAGCCCGCCACGGGCCGGCGGCTGGCTATCGCGGCTCGGCGGCACCAATTTCTCCGAACAGTCGGCCGGCCGGCAGGGCGCCCGCCCTGACTGACACGGTGATTCAGATAATTAACTCTCGCCACTTGGTGGCCGGGATAATATGTGTTTTCGGTCGGCACCCCGCGCCGCCGCGGTGCGTCCCCGGGCGCCGCGGTGTCACCCGATCCGCCCCCTCCCAAACGACGCCGACCGCCGCTCGTCACAGCGGATGACAAACGGCGACGGGGCGCAGCGGGCGCTGATTGGCTGACGTCACGTTTAATGAGTGCGCTGGCGCCGGCGATTGGCCGACGTTATGAAAGATGAGCTTCCGCGGCGTTGCCGATTGGCCGGCCGACAGACGACCCAGTTGGCGGCGGCCCAGTGCGTAGCTTCTCTACGGCACGGCGCGCGCCCAGCCAATGCGCGTCGCACAATTGCATCTAATTACGTGACGGCATCCCTGCGCGCAGACTGCTGCGCTGATGCCCTGACGTGACTGTCGTCGCGTCGCCGTCGGCCATGAGCAGCGGGTACTGACAGCGTTCCTGACGCAGATGCCGTGGCCGCGCCGTGAGCTGCACGATGAACATGCGGAGCCCGCCGAGCCCGCGCCAAGACTCCGACTGGGACATTAACGACATTAGCGACGCTAGCGTCCCCAAGGTAAGACCGCTGCAGCGGGCGCCGGCAACAGCGGCGCCAGGCTGCACGGCGGCCGGACAAACAAGTGGCGACTGACAGCGGCCCGGCTGCTCACGTCTGGCCGGTCCTATCAGCGCTGGATCGCGTGCACCTCGTGTCCATCTCGCACCTGGACCAGCGCCGCCGTACCATCAGGAGCCGATCGGTCTCGAGGTGATGCTCCAGCTGCACCGAAGCGTGCAGAGCGCGAAACCGAAAGTGAAATCGTGTTCGGCATACTCGCATGGCAAATGCATGAGGCGATAAAAGGCATCAAGTTGCAATATGGAACCAATCAAAAGCTAGCGGACGGCGCGGAGTGGGAGGCTGCAGCTGCCGGCTGACAGTCGGAGGCGGACGGCCCCACGCCGGACGCGCGACCGTCAGCCGTCACGCCGTCACCTGGCATGACAGGCGCTGCTCGTTGAATTCAATGAGGACCGCGGGTCGGCGCAGCCTTCCCGGCGGCGGCGGCGGCTCGTAAAACCGGACGGTCTCCGGGTGGCCACCGTCTGCAAGTCATCCGGCTGACCGCCGCCGGCGAGCCGCACGTGCCGGCCGCGCACCACGGTCGGCAGGCCTCCCCTAGCGAGGGGGGGGGGGGTCCGTGGGCTGGTGGTCACTGGTAGTGGGCGCCACTGTCTTCAGCGTACGGAGGGGGGATTCGTTTAAGTATATCTTGGTTGAGCATATGTCACTCAAAGCTTTGAAAAAACTAAATCGTAAGAGCACCAAAATGTGTTGTGAGGTACACGGATGATTTGATGCAATATGTACCGAGGTAACCCCAGATGGACATTTTTACAAGCCGATGCGTGAAATGTCGTTTCGCAAGGTCGCGGGAACTGGGGGAGAGGAGTGGGAGGCCAGGAATGGCCCGTGTCCCACATTTTATGCACAACTTCGGCAAATTTATCCACCTCTTGTGAGTTTCCGCATCCTGGTCTGGTTTGTTATAAGAAAAAAGTGTCACACCTAGTGTCATTAAAAATTCAAACCAAGCTAAGCCGAGGCCCCCCGTGGGACGCCGTAAGATGGATGCTTATCACTCCACTTCTTCATTGTATTAACCACTGCAGCCCAATGCCTTACTTAAGTGTGATAACGACGCCACGCCTGCTGCAATGACAAGCATGCGCCGGTGCCATGGACTTGATTTGATGCACGGCTGATCCCGTGGTGAGCAGTGGTCGCGACCTTTGTCGCGTGATGCATGTGATGTTCCCCCATTACGTCGGCGGGGCCGCTTGCCGCTCGCCCGCAGTCACTTTCGGCGCAGGTGACGCGTCACGGATTATGCAGCCGAACTTAACTCAACATGATGTCCGGCGTCTCAGCAACTAACAAATGGATTTCCCACCTCATGCCCAGTCAAGTCACGTAATGCAATAGACGCAAGGCGTTAGATCATTCTCGCTTTGTACCGCCCAAGACCACGGCCATTTATCCACGTGTGTCTCGTTAACATCTTAGTAATTGGATAACCTACGGCACACACCAGCCCATTGTGTTTGGGAAACAGCCGTGCGCAGGCGGCCGGCCGGTCATTGGCTGTCACGGCACCGTCCACGCGGCGTAGCGGTCCCGCGCGCTCGCGCTGGCCGAGACACGCCGCCCGTTTGCTCATTCTTTTTTCGCCCATTGCAGGGCTGGAGATGTCAGTTGCAAGCGCACGGTTGTTCAATTAACTATATTTTTGGATATTATGGGCAAAATGTATGACATGTGACACTAACGCATCACAGAATGTTAGACATCACAGATCTATGATTTTCTTATAGAATGATAAAGTCACATATATATATATATATATATATATATATATATATATATATATATCCAGTGATTTATTCCGACAAGGTCCAAACCGAAAGCAGTTTGAGCATTTTGCAGTAGCACTGCTTCGTAAATGCGTGTAATTTTATGCCAGGCTATGAGATAAACATCGCCAGAGGCATCTTACTCCAGGCATATGTTGCCGCCAGCATAGCCATTGTCACAGCTGCGGCGTTTCAGACGTCATCCTCTATACTGCACTTGTACGCCAGTGTCACGTGACGGCTTTCTGCTGACCCCGCGTCCAGCCGAAGCTGAATCAGAGATTCGCGACGTTTTCGGTGCTCTGATGTAATTTTTTTAGGGGGGGGGGTGAGCTGCAGTTGGGGTAAGTTAAACCGCTACGGATGTTACTAGTCTTGCCATTGTCCATGTTCTCGCATCTCTTGAAATGATTTGAAAAATATTTTAAATTTGCGACATAGTGGAACAGGTTCTTTGCCCCATGGCCACTTACCGTGCCACCATCAGCAGTGTACCCCATTCTAGCACAGCGATGGCTTTCGACGATGGCGTTTGGACGATGCCGTATGCCGGATTCCCAATAGTGGGCACAGCTAAAAACATGCCCGCTGAAATCCAGCTCAGTTGAGTCCGCCTCACGCGCAAAAAAATCTTACATGGCGTCAAAAACATCGCATGATTCCGGTCTTTTATGCGTACATGCCGATTTAAATTTGTAAGTGTTTACATTTGTTCACGTACATTGGCATATAAGAGGTTTGACAGAGGCGGAGACACATGCCTCGAGGGGCCATCGTATGAATACCCCACTGACTTTGAGGTCTCGTTAAAGGGAGTGTGCCACCTTTGGCGAATATTTAAGAAGCATACTCTGGTTAATTTTCAGGGGCACTTAGCTCTAATAATAGCATTGGAGAGCGTCACTGCAGCACCAGCAATAAATGATAATCCGATTAATTTTCATAATTTTCGAGTACATATTACGTGGTTAACGTTTGGGCACATCACTAGACATATGTCTCTCTTGTAGCCCCAAATTTACGTTTTGGAACAGAGTGACCCCAGACTAACTCCCTGAAAAGATCCCTAAAAACCCATGGACATATTTGACAGATGACCCTAGAATTATCAAGGGCCTCTTAAGACGAGGCCGCCAGCAATCCATGGACCCCCCAATGGCCGTTTTACTGCAGAAGGTCCTCCTCGAACAATGAACAATGGAACTGGTGGGGGCGTGGATTTCCAGGTGCCTCGCTTGACTACGTCCTCTTTGATGAGGCAAGTCCTGGAAAACCAAGGGGCCGTGAAACGAGCCATGGAGGTCCAAAAAAGCCTTTGAAGCTCTATTGAATCTGTATGGTTCTTAGAAGCTGAATGGCTCCCCTTTTGGTAGGGTCCCTTAAAGTTCAACAGTCCCGTTTGGTAGGAGTCACTAAAAGCTCAACAGTCCTGTTTGGTGGGGTCCCTAAAAGTTCAACAGTCCTGTTTGTAGGAGGTCCCTGTGGTAGGAGTCCTTCAAAGTTCAACAGTCCTGTTTGGTAGGAATCCCTAAAAGTTAACAGTCCTGTTTGGTGGAGTCCCTAAAAGTTCAACAGTCCTGTTTGGTAGGAGCCCCTAAAATTTAAACAGTTCTGTTTGGAAGGAATCCATAAAGTTCAATGGACCTTTGAAGAGGGACGAAGAAATCCAGCGGACTAACTTCCCGCAGCGTTGTGAGATTGTGAAATGCCCATCCGATAAATAACGTCTATCCATTGACCCTCAGTGGTTGTCGAATAAATGACCTTCAGGGATCTTTACATGTTTTGGGCTAATGCGACTCTCGGAGGTTCCTTTGCCAAGGAGGCTTTTGTATAAGGGACATTTTGGACCGTGGCCCTATTCAGAACCTCGATCTCCAGGGCAGTGAGCAACGGTAGATTATGTCACTCTCTCCCTCTGGTTACGTCATTGTTGACTTGAACTTTGTACGTGCAATAAATCCAGTAGTCTCTCCTGATATGGAATCACAACAGAAAAAGAGTCACAAGATGCAGGAGGCGTCCCAAGTTTATCTCGAGTGCTATCGGGTACTGCAACAACCGTACGTAGAAAATTCCATCGGATGAGAAAAGGGACTCCAACGGTTTTTTGTGTGCCCCGTGTTTACCGGTGAAGAGTATTAGCCAGCTCTGATGAACACAGGCGTATGTTCAGAGGGCTTGGGTATGGAGCCATGCCCCCCCCCCCTCCCCCCCCCCCCCCCCCTGGGCAAGGGGGCAGTGAAACTATCGTGCCGAAGCTGACCAAAATCCTCATTTTTGATCCACATAACGTTTATTTTCAAGAGGCACAAAATTCCAGTCGACTAGTTTTCTCTAAATTTCGTGGTTATCTGCTAGATATACACCAACGGATGCTTCCCACTGACGTGCAATTTTATCTATTCGATTCATCTATGGCATTCGACAAATGAGGCTTCCCAGTTTCCGAAATGTTCCTTCCATTTCAGCATTGCCTTTCCTAGGAAACGAAATTCCACGAGCCTGTAGGCATTTGGGGTCATTGAGAGGCATTTGCGTTCACTTGGTAGATGTTGAAATACAGATTGGGCACAGGACAGTCAGAACTTCCGATTGAATACAATGGTCCATAGCATATCAGAGTTTTCATGCGCCTGAATTTCATCAGCTGTTTTTCAAGAGATCAGATTGATCGCAGTTCTTTAGGCGGAAACCATAAGGAAACTTCAAATGCTTCTCGTCAAAAGAAATGTGACAACAATCATACAACTGTGGTTTCTTTTGTTAAAAGACAAGTCGCAGCATGGAGGCCCTTGTTTCGGATACTCCTCGCCTGAACCCTGCTCCCGTTCGACGCCAGCGGTCAATGCCCTGGACTGCTGTCCCTAGCATGACTGACTGCGAAGTGACTGTATCACTGCCTTGCTGCATATTTATGAACAAGCATCACTGCTTATTCGGTATAAAGCATAGATGGGACCGTAACAATATTCTACCTCTTCTTATATACTATCAAACTATCTCCTCTTACCCCACACCGCAACAGAAATTAAGCTTTCAGACCACTGTCTGCCTTACTGTCTGCCTACGCATAAATTGGTTCACCGGGCACTCCGTTGCCCCCCCTTTAAAGGGAATTGTTCACATTTAGACACATTAGCATAATATGTGATGAATCAG